TGTGTTGAGGAGTGTATGATATTCTCATCCTCTTTGGCTCGATCTGTGATCGTGTTGAGATGAAGAAGAGAGAAGAGAGATGACACCTTTGGAGGTGAGAACGCTGGATACTGGTCTGATGGACTGTCCACGATGTCTTCTGATGGATGGGCCGACGGCGTCCTCAGGAGATCGCTCAGCTGTTCGCCTACTCCCTCTTCTCTCTTCCTCTTCGTGGTGAACGTGTCTGGATCCTCCGTAGCACCGTTCGTCTTTGCATTTGTATGGAGAAGAGGCGCGTGTCTCTTTTTCGGAGGGGATTGAGCGCGGGCGGCCTGCGATCGGTTCATCGTTTGGGGAGTTGAATGGGTGGATGAGAAGATGGACTCACGCTGGGTCGACTGTCTTGAATGGGTGTCTGATCTGAACTCGACCTCGAGGTTTCGTGTGTTGGCACCTCCTCTTGACTCTTTCCCTGTTGGGGATAACGGAAACGTTTCTCGGCGACTCGTCGGCGGTTGTCTATCCATGAGTTGAGAAAGGCTTTGTGATGTCAGATGGCCATCATGTGATGAAGTGAATGTACCCAGAGAGTCCGATTTGGTTATCATCGTGATGAGATAAAGAGTCTGAGTGAGTCTGAGTCTGAGTCGACACGAATGGAAGATAATCACAGTATCTTCCTTACTGTGTCTGTGATACTGACTCATTCGTGGAATTGCAGCGTTGTAGATTGACAATAAAGTGGTGTATTTTCGAGCGAGAGGACAACCATCATCACACAAGCATGATCGATCTATACACGTTTATTGTTCTTCTTCTTCCTCTGGAAGGCCGGTCGTCCTCCGTTCTTTCCAAATATTGTCTAATTCAAAACGGAGGTTTTCGATCTCCTCTTCGTGTCTTCGCCTGACACTCTCGATTGTGATGTGTTCCAGCTGCTCTTCTAATTCGACGCAACGAGCGAACATGTTGGCTTCTTTCCGTTGTCTGTCTATGACCTGTGAATTCGTCACAACGTGTTTTGGCCATTGTCGAGTTGAACTCACATCTGGCTCTACTTCTTTAAAATCCCATCCTCTGTCAAACTCTTGTGTTTCGAATCGAGAGACGATCTGTAAGCGTGTCTGATTCGGAATACGATGACGGTGAAATGACTCATACCTTAGGATCGATGCCGAATCGTTGCAGGCTTGCAGCGAACTCTCTCGCTAAAGACGTATCAGACGTATCTGAATGTGATGGTAGAGGAGCTGAGTCGAATTGTTCATCTATGGAAGGAACGGGAATCACATCTTCTTGTGGTGTCGTCTCATGTTCTGTCTCTCGCTTTCGATGGGTTATCTTGGGTTCTTCCAGCGTCATGATGTGTGAATCGGTGATTGTTTTCTGCTGTTTGTGAATGACTCGTTGTTTGAAGGTGCGATGTGATGTGATGTGATGTGAAACGCAGATCAGAATGGAAAAGATGAGGAGAAAATTAATCCATTCACCCATACCTGGTCTGATCAGATCCCCCGCAAAGGTGAGGGGCATCGTATACATCCACCAAAGGACCATGAGAAGCATGGCGCTTAGAACTGGTGGACTCGTTCGTCTATCGGCCGATGATGATGAGGTTTGTCAAGCTTTCCCATCATCACATCGTGCAACATCGTATCACATCACATCATATGTCAATATTTCGATGGTATTAATGATCGCAGAGCGTCCCCTTCTATGCACTAGCTTGGCCAACCGCAAAGATCGCCGAAAATCGTGAGTATCATTTCCACTCTCTTCATCTGACACTCCCGACAGAGATCTGCATGGATCTCACCATCAGAGAGAATAGTGAAATCGAGATTGGAAAACAATTACAAGTCCTCGTGGTAGATGAGGTGATCCATCCTTTTTCATCGATCGCGTCAATCTGAAATGCATGCCATCAGATGTCGATCCCATCAGCGACAGAAATGTCCGTAGACGTTGTGTATCCTCCCAACACGAGTGATGCCGATAAGAAATCACTGGAAGAAGAGCTAAAGAGGATACCTCCGGGACTCATGTCGTTGTTGTTGTCACAGCAGATCGGTGAGACTCAAGATTGAGTCGATCTCGTTCTACATACATATGCCATCACCTCATGCATCATGATGATGAGATCACATGAACATAGAATCATCTCCTGATAAACATAGAGGGGAGATTTTTCGTGAAGGAGAACACTTTCTTCGCGAGCGTGAGCGGGAGACCTCGCAGATTCAAGATCGACGGCGTCAAGACCAGTGGAGGAAGGGGAGAGGTATCTGCCTTCGCCGTCACACCCGCCACTCAGGTTTCATTTAATCTACAACCAGCCAAGAAGAAGACTGAGGTGAGAAATTCCACACGATTCATTCTTCACCGTGAGCATGACTTGATCGTTCATCATCACGATCAGATCAGCTTGATGAGACAGTCGATCAGATGATCATCATGAGAGGTGATGAACTGATCGAAAAGCAGAAAGAAGAGGCCAAATTAGACTACAGTAACATCGGAGGTCTCAGTCTCCAGATCTCAACCATCATGGAGAGCGTCAACTTGGCATTCAACAGCAACGAACTCTTAACCCAATACGGTAATCCGTCTCGTTGTAGTCCCCACTCATTCGAATTCGCAGGTATCAGTCCACCCAAGGGTGTATTATTGTACGGCCCCCCGGGCACCGGTAAATTCTCATCGACTTTTCCTCCTCACACAAATTTCAGGGAAAACTCTCATAGCGAGGGTCATCGCCGCACAATGCAATGCACACATCACAGTCATCAACGGGCCCGAATTTTTGGGCAGCTACCTCGGTGAGAGCGAGGGCAGGCTGAGGAACATCTTCAGAGAAGCAGAAGAGAAGTCTCCCGCATTCATCTTTGTCGACGAAATCGATGCCGTATGCGGTGCCCGCAACACCGTGAGTACATTTATCGACAAAAACGAGACAGAGATATTGTTGACACCATCGAATTACACTCTAGTAATACATCTATTTAAATATGTAACATAAGTCTTATATACTTATATAATATATTGACGAGTAATACATCTATTATGTTAGGATTGAATTTGAATAGGATACTAGTGAGATGGAGAAGAGAGTGACGGGTGCCTTCTTAACTTTACTCGATGGCATCAACGAGAAGAAGAAAGTTTTTGTTTTGGGGGCAACGAATCGACCGAATTCGTTAGATCCCGCTCTGAGACGCCCCGGCAGGTTTGATAAGGAGGTGGGGTTCGTTGGGAGGGATGTATCTACAACGGTGTAGATCGAGATACCGATACCGACGGCCGAGGCGAGACTGGAGATTTTGAAGGTTTATTTGAATCGAGCGTCTCACGTCATCACTGATGATGAGGTGAATTTATCCTTTGAAATCGAACGAAATACAATACGACATCATTCTACTTCACAGTGTAGTAAGATAACTCATAAAAATACGATCATTCGATTATATATGTCATAGAACCGTTCATTGACGATCGTTGTAGATACGGAAGGTGGCTGCAGATACGCACGGGTACGTCGGGGCTGATCTGTCTGTCTTGTGTAAAGAGGCAGGAATGAGGGCCCTCAAGAGAGTGTCCGGTGACGATCGTTCTACAACGTTGTAGATTGACCCCTTGCAGTCGAACACGACGGAAAGATCATCATCGATAAATTAACCATCACGTTCGATGATCTACAATCAGCCAGACATGACGTCATACCCAGTGCCATGCGTGAAGTCACGGTGGAGGTCAGGAATTTCCCGGAATTTTCATCCACATTTTCTGTGAAATATCGACGAAATTTCTAGGTACCAAAGGTCCTCTGGACTGACATCGGAGGCTACGACGACGTGAAGATGAAACTCCGCGAAGCCATCGAGCTACCCCTGAGGGTGGGTGACACCCCGTTCCCGCCAAAACTGAACACGTCACAGCATCCGGAGGCCTTCAAGCGGTTGGGAGTCGAACCACCGAAGGGCTTACTATTGTATGGACCTCCCGGCTGCTCTAAGACGCTCATGGCAAAAGCTCTCGCCACCGAGGCCGGTCTCAATTTTATCGCGGTGAAAGGGCCTGAAGTGAGTTGGAACCCCGTTCCCGCCTTTTTTCTCTCGGGGGTTGACGGGAGGTACAGTTGTACGGTAAGTACGTCGGACAGTCCGAGAGGGCCGTGAGGGAGATCTTCCGAAAAGCCCGAGCCGCTTCACCATCCATCATCTTCTTCGTATCCTTTATATCATTTTATTTCATTTTATTCTCCTTCACCCTTTCAGGACGAGATCGATGCTCTGGCCGGGTCACGTGACCAAGAAGGAGGTGGTGGTGTCTCTGATCGTGTCATCAGCCAACTCTTATCCGAAATGAATGGAATCGAGCAGATGCGAAACGTCACAATCGTAGCCGCGACCAACCGCCCAGACATGATGGTAAGTCTCATCTACAACGAGCCACTCTGACCCACCCCAGGACCCTGCCCTACTCGCCGCCGGACGATTCGATCGCATTTTGTATGTGTCGCCCCCAGACATATCATCTAGGCGGGAAATCTTCAACTTGTCCCTCCACAGCGTGCCCCACGCTGCAGAAGTCACGGCCGAGGTGAGATTCACGGACTACAACCAGCCAGTCAACGTCGGTCAGGTTCTGGCCGAGATGAGCCAAGGCTATTCAGGAGCAGAGTGTGCGTCGATTGTGAGGGAGGCGAGTCTGAGAGCGTTAGAGGAAGACATCGACTGTGAAGAATTGAACTTGAGTCACTTCTACTGGGTGAGACGAGACGGTTTCACATGGAGTTGAGAGGGTGTAGGTGTTCTCTGAGTTGAGTCCCGGCATCACGCGTGAGACGATACAGTTCTACGAGAGGTGGAGGGAATCGTCGGGCAAGAGATCCATGTGAAATGATAAAGAATGGTGTGAACCATATAGAAGATATAAAGCCGTGTAGAATGATGCGAAGTCACTTAGATATTACGCAAATCATGTTCTACACAACCACACACAGATCTGCGGAGTCAGTTGCCCGCCTAGCTCAGTCGGTAGAGCGCTAGGCTTTTAACCTAGTGGTCGGGGGTTCGAGCCCCCCGGTGGGCGATTTTGTTAACGGTTGTATGTTTCGGTACCAGGACGTGACTCAAGATCAAGTTGTGGATTGTGCATCGATTGTGATGCACACAACTTTTCCTTATTTGAGTCACCCTCTTACTCTCCGCCGATGATGCTGTCATCATTCGCGATCGGGAAACTCATTCACTGAAGTCATTACCGATCGTCAGCCGTGGTCAGTAAGAGTGACCATAATAATTCTCTCGAGCCGTTTTGAACGGTGGACACCACCTCCCTTCGCCGAAGTGATCGGGATGCAATGTTTCCCCTGTCCGCTCTAACTCGACACCCGAAAGGGCCACTGAGTGGGCAATACAACAAACCCAGAATATTTCAATCATGAGACTAAAGCTAGATTGGTGGAAACATTGCATCCTTTTTGCACTTGATGATCTCTATCATCTTCTCATCACGGAGCAAATATACGTGCCGGTCACCTCATTGGCTGAAGAGAGTGAGAAGCTGTTTTAATCTGGTATGTCCTCTTTTGATGGCAGGACGGTGGAATTTGTTCAAGCGAGACCAGCATCAAGACGATTGATCTTTCTGTAAATTGGGCCGGGTCAGGAGATGCTACTCTTGAGCCACATGTATTGGTTATGAGTCTATGTTTGGATGTCTGAGAGGTACACTCTTCAAATAATTGGATTTCGATCTTCAGTGGGGACGATGACAATCCACAGAAAGTGAAGCACCTCATATCAATACATTTTTATTCATAGCTCTGTTCAGTGCATCCCTTTGTCTCCTATTCTGAAACCATATCTGTACACTCCTCGCCGTTGTCTTCATCTCCTCCGCGAGCTCTCTTCTCTTCTGCAGATCAGGATAAGGATCGGAGTCGTAATGACTCAGTAGTTTGCACCTTTGTTCTGGAGTGAAGATTCTTCCTGTGGCCGCTCAGACTGCGACACCATGTAAAATGCATGCGTCCATCGCACCTCTTCGCGTCGCAGATGTGCTCCTCGAGAGAAGAAACTGGCGATATCCGTCCACGCCTTGATCTCTAACGTGAAGAGGTTCAGGGTGTATCAGCTTCTTAATGTCCATTCCTTGGTGTATACTCTTTTATAATGGATGGTTGTTACGAGACGCGCATCGTCGGACGTGCGGGATCTGAACTTTCCCATTCTTCTGACATTTTTGAAAGAATACCCATAGAGAAGTATTCTTCTTCTCTACGTCGCACTCGATTTAACGAGGAACGAAGGACAATTTAACATAAGGACCGCTCTCCTAAGTAGGTGCTGTGTGTTCGTCAGGCTTACACGTTCACATTTGCCACCTCTGCGCCTCTACAAAGTAAGGAGTAACGATACAAGAACGGTGGTTCATGATGGTATTTACTACGGTGAAACGTCCGACCATTGGTTCTGAAGAATGAGTACTTGCGGCTGTTTTTCTACAGATTGGAAATACCATGGTGGAAAATCGCTTAAGCCCGGAGTCGCTGGTGTCGATCGCAATTCCCGACTGTCAAGGTGACATGAACTCCGAGTGAAGGGAGGAACAGTTCCATAGGTAGTGTGAGAGTCTTCAGTTCTAGGTCTTCAGTCGAAAAGATCCAACGTACCCAGTAGAAGAATCTGTACGGATGGTAGACAGAAAGAGGAGTACGTATAAGACCTCTTCCATGCAAGTCTGAAGTTCTAGGTCTCTATCTGCGCAGGATCTTCTACTAGATGATTCATTCCAATCTCTTACCTCGATAGAACATCACCAGACCGGTAGAGTTGTGAATGCTATCTCATATTCTCGATGAGTTGAGGCAAAGAACTAAAAGAGTTCTTTTGTCATCACTGCAAACGTTGTGCGGGGTAGATTTATTTCTTCATCGTCTCCCAACCAAAAACCTCCAACTCCACGCATTCGAAATCTTTCTTTCCACCTCCAGTTAAGCTGGCATTATCAAACGTGGCGCTGCGATTGCAGCTGCCGTGGAGTAATTCTGTTCGTGTTCAGACGACAGACATGCCGACAGATGTCTCATCGTAATGCTGATGATGATGATGACTCACCGTCATCGAGGTAGATGCTGCAACCTGATCCCCCTCCACCAATCATGATCGCATTCGAAGCCTGAATGTGTGTCATTCGAATGCACATAAATCCGAATCAATTCAGATACTTTTCGCTTCCATTGAGGAGAAATAAAAGGAAATAAATCTCTCTCACCATGAAGAAGAGATTATTCTCCTTGGTCCAAGGGTACCGTCTCATCTTAGGTGACATAGAGAACAAGAAGGTCTCCCCCGTACCTTGAAATTTCTCCGTCTTTTCCCACGTCCCGGTGTGGAAGAGTCCAAACTTGTGTCCCTCTTTCGTTCTCATGATCATGACGCTCGGCGTGAACGTCGAACATTTATTCACCTTTTATTGTCAATCTACAACGAACAGATGATGAGATCGATCACCAGCGAAGTCAGGTTGAAGCCGTGTTTCGTTGTGGTAAAAATTCTCACCGGTTCGTCCAGTTGACATCTGCGATATTTCATCGGAATTACGATCTAGTCTACAACGTTGTAGATCGTACCTGATGGGAAGCCACAACCACAGTGTCGCCAATTGTTCGTGATCGAGAATAGAGGACAGACTGTCTATTTCACTCGGCAGCTGCTGATCTCTCGACCTCCTCAGATAATCGAGACAGCTGTTGCGTCTGCCTCCGTGTCAATCTACAACGTTGTAGATGAACGCATCTCACCGAAAAGAAACACCCCAGGCCAGTTCGAGTATATCGACGTCGTTGTCTTTGTAGTTAGACATGTAGTTCTCTAATTCTTGTGTGATCTGATGCAAGCTCGTGCACTTCAAGAGGACCTCTGCATTCTTTACAAAGACTGCGAGGGCGACGCGGAAGAGGATGACCATGCCTGAGGGGGTGAGTGTTCCATCTACAACGTTGTAGATACCTTCTGATACGAAGCAGTCGAAAATGCGGAGTACGACACGGTAGGGGAATCTGCCGACGAAGAGTCTGGAAAACCAACTGAAATTTCATCAAATTTGTGAAAATGAGATATTTTATATCTAGACAGAACGATGATTTGAAAAAAATTTTAAATTTCACAAACGTAAAATAGAGGGAAATGTTTTTGATGAAATAAAACGAAGACAAAATGAAACGAGACGGTACCGGGAGGCAAAATGACACTGCTCGATGTCGTCTACAAAGGAGTTGATGTGACTGTGAAGATCTGGTGCACACATGTGAAGTGCATTCAATGTGACGGCAGTGAACAGATCAGGGATATTGAAGTGAGCGAAGTCCGATATCTACAACGTTGTAGATCGAGCTCGATAATCTAAAAATAGTCTCACCTTCGTCTGATTGAACAGAGATCGTGTCGTGTAGAAGGCTTGTTCCTCTGAGATGTAATGCAAGAGTATGCAGACTACGCGGGTCATTCAAAATTCAAATTTTAAATCTCACTCATGTCAGGCAGGATGGGGTGCAAGTAAGAGAAATGTGGTCGAGATTTCTTGTACAGAACCCACAGCAGCCTCTGCATCCTCTTCTGATTCTCCTCCGACAGGTTGTGATTCTGAGGCGAGAATCCTAAAAATAGATCAGTCTCGTTGTAGATCGACGGGCTCACCGTCCGGTAGGTAACCCGATAGCATATGTGGATTCTTCATGACGAGATCGTCCCACAATAGATCTCCATCGGGTGTCAAGGCACTGTCTATCTCTTCAGAGGTAAAGGCGGCGCGTAGAGCTCTCTCGTATTGTTTGTCGTCTTGGGCGAGAGATTCTGTGCAGCCGCTAATAGACAGCCACACCTACAAGAATTGGCGTGTTGTAGATGAGATCATGGCGGGTTGTAGATGAACGATATGGCGAGTTATATCGGAAAATTAAAAAAATATAGAAGGGGTGTTGGCGCGTTGTAGATGAGATGATGTCACACCTTCTGTCTGTGGTTATCAGGTATACCCTTTCTGATGTGCAATAAGAGTTGTTGTGTGTCGTTCAGATCAGTCGACGGACCCCAGAACTCATCCGTCGCAATCTCTTGCGACACTCGAAATTTGGGACTCGAATTGGGACTCCCCGAGGTGGAATTTTTCCGCCAGATCCCTCCCAGACCCTGGAGCCGTCAGGTAAATTTCCGAGAAAATTCTCTTCACCGAGGTGTTGATTTGGAGTGGATTGGTCGGAGGAGAAATTGGGCCTCCCAGATTTGGTTCCGGCTCGGGTGGCTGCACGATTTCATCAAAATGAGACCTTTAATCGATCTACAACGAGTCACCTCCACATCGGGTGCCTCCTGACCGTTATCCGAACACGAATCCGCTGGGCTCTTCAGTCGAAATTTCTCGGAAATTTCTCACCGATGACAAAGAGACTACTGATCATTCCCGTTACGATGGAAACGATCTTCCTACCGTTCAATTTCTCCATTTCCGTTGGAACAAATTTGCTGCTGTTGAACAGTCTGCCCCACACGTACAATTTACCAGACACTGATGACGTCATCATCGTGCGAGACGAGAGCGTTGTAGATGGATAAAATCGAAGAAAATCACCTGTCTGTACGATGTTGTGGAAATTTCCGCAGGTCAAAATGCGTACGGGCGAGGGTACCCCCACGAACACCGGTCTACAACGAGTCAATTTCTTCCACATTTCCCCGATATTCCTCACGTGGATTGTACCTCAACGGACTTGTCTGCCACTGGGCCACATTGCCCTTCCGAGCAAGCTCCAAAGCAAAAAGTCGATCCATCATCTGTAACCACAGCCGAGTGGTAGTATCCACCTGAAATTTCGTCGATATCTCGCCGAAATTTCCGAGAAATCTCACCCGCCACCTGGTTGACCACCTTGTTCTCGAGACCCTTCACGATCTTCGGTGTCTTTACGTCCTGTCACATGTGGGTGAAATTTCATCCGATTTTCACCGTGTCCCACCTCGGTGTTACCGTGCCCGCATTGTCCGAAATCAGATTTCCCGAAGGTAAAGAGGATGGAAACGTGTGAGGCC